AGGCACGGAGCCCGTGTCGCACGGCCGGACCCTCGGCTGTGGCACACACGGTACGCGGGGAGCGGTGTGCGAGGGGACACACAGCGCACGCTCCGCCGGGAATTGTTTGGGATTGTTGTTACGAGGAAGCGCTGCTGGAGGAATAACTGAAAAACAGCAGCCAGTTATTAAAAAATAACCCAGTCCCCTCGGTAATTTTTGCACGCAGAGCAGTATCGGGTGCTGCCACCCGTGTGGCACACGCGGTGACAGAGTTGTTGTTTGCCTTCTCCCTCCTCAACTTCCCGAACCCGAGAGATGGCACTAGAGCAGAATATCACTGAAAGTCGTATTTCAGTCACGAAAAAGGAATGAATCACTCGTGTCTGAGTGCCAGCGGCTGTTGCAGGATGGAGTAAATGCTGCTGGAGTAGGGTGGCTTTGCCAGCGGTGTTTCCTTCCTTTGTCTGCCTGTTCCTTTTCCATGAATCTTTCCAAATGCGCGTTTGGACTCAGGGGTGGATATGGGGTGGGAATCCACCTCTAGGATGGTGTTGATGGACTGTGTTTCGGCCAGGCTGGAACTTGAGGTCTCCACGTGAAGATCCCATGGTAGGAATATCATTTAGAGCCAAAAATAACAATTGAATTTGCAACATTTGCGAGGGCAGAGTGCACATGTGCGCTTTCCATGCCCTGCCACTGGCACAGGTTGCCCAGACAAGTGGTGGAGCCCCATCCCTGGAAGCGCTCCAGGCCGGGCTGGGTGGAGCTTGGAGCAACCTGCACGGTGTCCGTGGATGGGACGAATGAGACGAGTTTTGAGGGGCCTTTCTCAGCCGAACATTCTGAGTTTCTGTGAGCAGAAAAGGATGAGCCCATGGAGTGAGCAGGGCAGCACGGTGGGATTGCAGCCAGCTGCATTCTTTAGGTGATGGTGATGATATCAGTGCCACCGCCGGCTGCAGCTGAACTGCTGACCGCTCAGAAACCCCTGCCAAGTTTTATTTCCCCGTGGTTTTGTCCCTGGGGATCAAAAGAACGAGACTCCACAAAACGAGGAAAAAATGGGAAGTAAAGGAAGAAGTCTGATTTCTAGAAGGTGCAGTCAGCCGTCCCCTAACCCCAGCTGGGATTGCACTCCAGGTTTTACAGCCTGCAAGTAAAGGATTGGTCTAAATGTGTGGTACCATCCTCCCCTGCTCTGCCCACATACTCCTCCCCATTTCCCCCCCCTTTTCTAATGAGAAAATGCAAATGTTGGTTCCCCTCTCTTTTCCCCTCCTTTATTCAGTGACCCTAAGCAGGGAGGATGCTACAGCTGACCTAGAGCTGGCAATACAAGCCTGATTTTTAACCCCTTTCCTGACCAGAGATCTTTTAAAAGCACATTTTATTTTAAAAGCACACAATGATGGCCTAGTAATTATAGTGATAATCAATGCATGGTGCATTAATTTTACAAAGTGATGCCCAGCAAGCAAATATTGTCTCAGAAAATAAAAAAAACCCCACATCCTTAGGTTGAGGGAAATTGTAAAAATATGCTAATTTGGGCATCAGGAGGGAAATGTCAAAAAGGAGGTGAATGGGAGATCAGGAATTAGATGCCAAAGTGTCATGTGTGCCTACAGGATTTGTAATTTAAATATAGGGACAGAATCTGTAGTGATAACAGCCACTAGTGGTTTTTTTCACCTGGTTGCCATGGAAATTGACACCACATTTCAATAATAAAAGTAACTGGTTTCCCCAACAGGAATCTTTTGAATACTCCAGCATATCATGGAATAGATTTGTTTTGCTGCCACCTGAGTGTTGTTTTTTCTTCTTCCTGTTCCTCTGTCTGCATTTCAGGATCCTTTCATTGCTTTCCATCTTGACAAGGCACTGGTCAGGAAGTACATGAACCCTCTCCTGATTGGGGAACTGGCACCAGATCAGCCCAGCTTTGAGCCCAGCAAGAACGTGAGTGTCATAAAAACTTGGTTTGGGCTTGAAATTGTGCTGTTTAACTTTTCTGACTGGCAGGCAGAACTCCCTGTACATAAGATCACAGGATCTCCTGGAATCACTGTTGGCTGAAGCTTCAAATTATTATTTGTAGTTTTAGCAAAGGTTTGTTTCCAGGTGACCCTCAGCTTTCCCCCTTTTCATCCCTGAGAGGGAAAACTATGCTCCTGTTGATGTTCCTGAGGTGTTTTCTGACCAGTGGATGCTTTTGGGTCTCCCCACAGAAAAAGCTGGTGGAGGATTTCCGTGAGCTCCGTGCCACTGTGGAGAGGATGGGGCTTCTCCAGCCCAACCACATCTTTTTCATCCTTTATCTCTGCCACATCTTGATGCTGGATGTTGCAGCCTGGCTCATCATCTGGTATTTTGGAGCATCCTTGGTGCCTTTCCTCTTCTCTGCTGTTCTTCTGGGCACTGTCCAGGTGAGCAACTACACAAAATAAGCCCCAAAAAGCCAAATTTGGGACTTGGGGGCTTGTTGCATTAAGGAGGGGACAGATCTTATCATCATGGACTTCCTCAAATCCTGCTTCTCTCTGGATTCCACCAAAAAGCAAAACTACACATGCTGCTTTGCCTCACTTTTTCCTCCCCATATTCCATCAAAGCCTTCCTTATTCCAGCCTTGCCCACACGATGAAAGCCGTGCCCCGCTCCTGAGCTCCACGGTGCCAGAACTCCGAGGCAGCGTGCAGGGGCCAAGCCACTGTGTTCCCATGGGAACTTGCAGGGAGTTAGAGGAGAGGGCAGAGCAGCTCTCAAAGCCCCAGCTATTCCTCCCGTGGCCAGTGATCCCCTTGGAATTACAAGTACTTGGAGGAGGCAGCAGCAAGCTGCTCCTTAAAGGAGACTTTGTTGCCGATTTCAGAGCAGTTTTGTGAGGGAATAAATGCTGGTTCTCAGCTCTGTGACTGGTTTTTTTCCCATGACTTTTTTTCCCTTCCTCATGGAAACAACTGTCCAGGACTAAAAGTCATTAGGCAGAGCCTGGAGTGCACTGGTGTGTAGTGAAAAAGGAGAGTTGGGATTGGGCCCTGGCAGTGGAAGTGCTATTGCTATCCAGGGATACGCTGTGAGGAGCATGGGAGAGGGAGAAGAAAGCCCTTTTCAGACACAGACCCTCCTGGCAGCTCTTTTTCCCCAGCAGCACTGTTGCATTCTTCATTTCAGGCCCAGGCTGGCTGGCTGCAGCATGATTTTGGACACCTGTCAGTGTTCAGCAAGTCCAGGTGGAACCACTGGGTGCACAAGTTCGTCATCGGCCACCTCAAGGTGAGCGCTGGCTGTGGGCAGGGGCTGCCAGTGCCCCGCTGTGCCGCCAGAACCAGTCCCAGGGTAAGGAGAGACCTGAGGGCAGAAGATCCACCTTCTGTAGGGCACTTTCTCCTCATCCATTCCCACAGGGAGCCCCGGCCAGCTGGTGGAATCACCTCCACTTCCAGCACCACGCCAAGCCCAACTGCTTCCGGAAGGATCCCGATGTCAACATGCACCCCTTGTTTTTTGCTCTGGGGAAAACCCTCTCTGTGGAGGTGAGACCTGAGAGAAGCTGGGAAGTGACAGCAGTGGGATTCAAATTTGGGAAACTGCAGAGAGAGCTTGGACACTAATTAGTATGGTTTTATATGGTGCTAGTCCCTAATGTTCCTCAGTAATATTCCAGCAATTCTGAGACCTTTGTATTCTTAAAGCTTCACTCAAAGTTATTTTTGTGGTGTTGGAAGATAAGAATGAAATATTTGCCACAATTACAAGTTCCTATTTCCCTTGATGAGAGAATTTCAGTTTTATGAAGATCAGAACTACAAGTTTTCTCTTTTGCCAAGATCAGTGTGACTAATTGTAGTGATCTGGGAATCAGATGGGAAGCAACAGATGACAAGCCAGGGCTGTCTGGAACTTTTACAATTCCTGATCAAAGAAGCTATTTCAGTGGTCTCAGCCTGGCAGTGGGTGTCACAGTGGTTCCCATCTGGAGTCCAGCTCTTTTTCTGGTACACTCTGCAGTTAAATGAGTGGCTTTAGCATTTGCTGTCCTTTAAAAAAAAAGCTATGTAAATTCATAGTGTCACTTTTAAATGCTCTGATTTGTATTGAAATTAAAGGATGGGCTATTGGGAATTAATTTGAGCATGTACAGGGATATCATGGCATTCCTTAAGGAAGCCAGTGGCTTGATCTGTTATGTTTGTACAGCAAACATTGAAAAATGAGCAGCCTCAGAGGGAAGATAATCTGTTCACCCTCATTCTTGTGGACACAGTTTCATGCTTAGATGCTCACTTCTCTGTTTTCCAGAGTAATTGCAAGGAGATGGGAGTTCCACACACTGCCATCTTCATTAACAGTATCATAACAGTACCATAGCCTGGGGTTCTTTAGTTCTGAAGCTCTGCTTTGTCAGCAAACTGTTTGTGTGGGTTTCTAGTTCAGCATTTTTAGGCAGCTTGTGCCCTCTGTAGGGGCAGAGCTTCCTGTGCAGGTCACTGTGTGTGTGCAAGGCACTGCCCAGCCCCTTCTGCAGGGTAAAAACTTATCCAGGCCAAGGTTCCAGGGGATGGTTGGGTAGAACATCTCCTGGAAGTTTAGAAGTGTGTGCACAGGTGTCCTCATGGCCTGAGTAATTTGTGTATTTAACAGCTTGGTGTGCAAAAGAAGAAATTCATGCCTTACAACCACCAGCACAAGTACTTCTTCATCAGTGAGTAACCTCCCCCTGTGCAGTTCCATGGCCAGCAGTCACTCTGCCTCTTGTTTTGCCATTCCATCCCATCCTGCTGGGATAATTCATGGCTCTGTTTGTCCCTGCAGTTGGTCCCCCAGCGCTGGTGCCCCTTTATTTCCAGTGGTACATCTTCTACTTCGCCGTGCAGCGCAAACAGTGGGTGGTGAGTCAGCTCCACGGGGGCCAGGGGGGCTTCTCCTGGGTTTGGGGATGAATTCCAGTGCCAGATTTACTGGGAGGTGTGTGTGTGTGCAGCAAAGGATGTGGGTATAGATTTGGGAATGGTGTTTGCCAAAGGGGGATCTTCCACAGCTTTTCTTTGTGAAAGATCATCTGGGAAACAAAAAATGTTCTCTGGTGTTCTGAGTTTAGGGTTTGTCACTGCTTGGTTCCTCTTTAGATCCAGAGGAAAATGTGGTGCTTTAGAGCATGTCCTGTCTGGTGTTGGCCCTCTGCTGGGCTCATGGAACCAGGATAATTCCTGAGCACAGGGAATGGCTGGTGTCAGGTTACTTTGTGATGAGTCTGGGGAGGAAAAACTGATCAGTAGAAGATGTTATGGGAGATTTTAAAGGAAGTGATGGTAAATTCAGAAGTCAGAAATTCTTCCTTCTAATGAAGTTTTGCCTGTCCCCTGTACTACAGGACCTGGCCTGGATGCTGTCCTTCTACATCCGATTCTACCTCACCTACTTGCCCTTCCTGGGTGTGAAGGGTACCCTGGGGCTCCACCTGCTAGTCAGGTATCATCCAACTGACAATTCCAACATTTTCTCTGCCCAGTTTGTATCAATCCTTCGTGTCAGCTTCTCTCCAGCCTTCTGGTTATTTTTCTCATCATTCCCTGTTCTTCTCTGTCCTGATCCTTTCAGTGGGACAGGGGTGGTTTCTTGTCAGGCTGCAGGAGGTGGAAGGTGTGTGTAGGTCTGATCTGTTTGTGTTTCTGGTGTTTATTTTGTCAGGCAACAACCAGTTGGTGTGTGCACAAGTGTTTTGTACTGACTTGTCACATCATGGGTGTGTGATCTGTGATGGTTTTTTGTTTTTGACAGGTTTATAGAAAGCAACTGGTTTGTCTGGGTCACACAAATGAATCACATCCCCATGCACATTGATTATGATAAGAATGTGGACTGGTTCTCTACCCAGGTGAGACCTTATTTATGGAGATATATGACAGTTCTGGGTGTGTAAAATCCATCTATCTCAGCCTGGCCAGCTTGTGTTGGCTGGATATAACTCCTGAAGCTGTTGTGTCCAGCCAGAATTCCTGTGGGGATGAAAAACCTGTGTTTGAGACAGGGCATTGCTAAAATAATACTTAAAACAGGACTTCTGTTTTTTTCTTTCAGCTCCAGGCAACCTGCAATGTTCATCAGTCCTTCTTCAATGACTGGTTCAGTGGCCACCTGAACTTCCAGATCGAGCACCAGTGAGTGGAAACAGGGCTTGGGAATAGTTCCAAGGAGTGCTAGATACACCAGGGCTGAAGAGCCTCCAAGGTCCCTCTATCAGCTGAGACAGGAACAAAAGATAATGGGGGTTCCATTTTGTGCTCTTTGTGGAGGGCAGAACAGGAACTCCAAAATGAAAATTTCTGGAGCACCAGTGAGCACCAGCACCACTTCAGATCTAAGCTGCATGGCACAGGGGGGAGAATTCCCAGCACAGGCACTGAAGGGACACGAGAGGGACATTGCAGAGCACCCATGGCTTTGGCCCAAGGGGAGCTGGGGGCACTTCCAGAATTAGGCACAGCAGCGGGGCCAGGATTCCATGTGCTGGTGAGGGATGCCATTGAATCAGCACCTCCTTTTCCCACAGCCTTTTCCCTACAATGCCACGGCACAACTACTGGAAGGTGGCACCTCTGGTGAAGTCCCTGTGTGCCAAGCATGGCATTGAGTACCAGTGCAAGCCTCTGCTCACAGCCTTTGCAGACATCGTGCAGTGAGTATTGACCCGCCGTGCTCCCAAGGCAGGGGCTGTCAGTGCTGTGGAGGAAAAAGGGGAGGGAACAGACAGGGAGGGGCAGCTCTACAGGTCCCTTCTGATCCAAATCACTCATGATCTCCTTTGCTTCGCCTGTAGACTTCTCCCCATGAGACTCTGGTTGGAACGTGTGTTCATTCCCTTGTTTCTGTCTTGGCAGCTCTTTGAAAGATTCAGGAGAGCTCTGGCTTGATGCTTATCTACATAAGTAAGCAGCAGTGGATCCCTGCAGAGGAATTCCCCAGCCTTGCTGCCTCCTGTGGTGGTCACCCTGAAGATCCTGCACTGAGGAGAGCTGGCTAAGCCAGATTTGGGGAGGTGGTGCTGCTTAATTCCATGGATGAATGTAATTAATATGATTTTTCCTTTTATTTGGTTGGTTTTCTTTTTTTGTTGTTTTTTTTTTATTTTTTGTTTTTTTTTTTTTCTTGTGCTTCTTTCATTCCTCTTCTCTGGTGCTGAGTGCTGGGGAGAAGCTGGATGGAGGAGGTTGTGTCCCACCAAGCTGGGTGCAGCTTTGGGACTGGGAACAGATTCCTTTCCGTCTGCTGATCCTTCATTTATTGAGTATATAGGAAGGAAGCTTCATATCTAACATAGGCTTTTTGGGGTGGCTCTCACTGTGAGTGTAGTAAGAAAGTTGGGAGAGTGTGAAATCAAGGAATGTGAGAATTAGGGAAATGTGGAAGCTCTAAGGAATTGTGTAGGTTCAGTATTTTCAAATCCCTGTTTGTAATAGGGAGCTCCCAGACCAATTTGTACATATGTGGGTGGGGAGGTGCAGGCAGCAGCTCTCTAGGAACAGGATCTAGTTAGAGCCCTCATTGAGGTAGGGAAACAGGAAAGTGGAAGTTGTTCCATGGGCCATGTTCTGTGGGAATGCTGCCCTCCACATCTCTGGAAGCCTCTGGGTTATTTGGCCACTGGTGACATTCCAGGGGGATCTGCAAGGGGTTTCCTCCGTGCCAGACTTTGGAGTGTTGTGAAGCCATTACTGAGTAAGAAGAGAGAGAAACCTGTCCTATCCACACCCAGGATCCCTACAGGAGTGACAGAGGAAGTGAAAGCATTCCAGACCAGGCTGGACAAGGCTTGGAGCAGCCTGGTTTAGTGGAGTACAATAAACCATGTCAAGGGGTGGAATGAACTGAGGTTTAAGGTCCCTTCTAACCCAAACCATTCTGCAATGATTCTGTGTGAAGGGTGATCATAATCACTCTTGATTTGTGCCTGAAGCTTTGGGCTTTTTTGGACCTCTGGGTGATTTGTTAAAAGGAGAGAATTCCTGCCTCCTGGCCCATGGAGAGTGAGGCATTCCTGCCTGAGCAGCAGACAAATCTAAGTTAGAAAGGTGGTGGGGGTCAGATTGCTGTTTAAAAGTGTTTAACTTTCCATTCAGCTGCATATCCGCAGGCACACCTCAGCCAAAACATTGCTGGTCTCCCTCTCTCGGATGATGTGCCTTCCAAACACATCCCAATCCTGTGGGATTTACTGAATATCTTACTGCCTTTCCTGGGGCCTTTTAGTTTACTGCCCCAACGTTACAGATGCCAAGCCAGGATGTAGCACCTGCCACATCACTGAGGAGGATGCTCCATCACCCTGGTCCCCCAGGGACTGGTGGATTATAATCCAGGAGGGATGGGTTGATGTTGAGGAATTTTTTTCCCAATCAACATCCAAAAGGAGGATGAGGTGTTGACAGAATGGAAGAAATAGATCTTCTCAGGCCAAGAGTGTTGTTAAGCACAGGATAGAATTGTAGTGGGAATAATAATACTGTCATACCTGTATAATATATATAATATTGTTATTGTTATAATAATATATTGTTATATAATAACAATACATCATGCAATCAAATACTTGGTGATTAAGACCATAGAGAAAGTGGGCCTTAGTTATTGTTTTACCTTGGTTTTTTCCTGCTCCATTTCTTTCCCTCGTATTACAACTGTGGATGGAGGAAAGTCTATTAATAAAATTCCTTATCTTACCAATTTGTGCTGTCATCAGAGTAAAATATATCTGTGCAAGAGTCTTCACTCTGTAAAAGGTGGAACAGATGGCTGTCCACAGCTACAGAGAGAGAACTGTCATAAACCTCTTTCTCCAGAATGTGCTTCTCCTGTGTTTTCCCTGCTACAATAAAGAGGGAACATTCACCATACAGTAAACCAAATGCCTGGATAACCAGGAAAAATAACACAGATGAGCAGATTCACAATCCTGAAGAGTAAGAGTGAAAGGGGACCTGACTCAACATAACCAGGTATGAATGTGCTGAGTTTCCTGGAAGTTATCCAGGCTCGAGAAGAGTTCTCCAGAGAGTTTTCCAGGCTGAGGAAATACACTGAATTACACGACCTTGGAAGAACACCAGCCCCAACTTTGCCATCTAGTGGAAACCTTTTGGCCTTGAAAACGGAACCTGAACATTTTGGAATAGCCACAGGGTGGCACTCAGACACCAGAAGGGGAGGAGGACATCTCAAAGGATCAGAAGGGAAGGATCAGATCATGAAAGAGACTTGGCAAGGGCATAGAGTGACAGAACAAGGGGGAATGGCTTCAAACTGAAAGAAGAGAAGTTTAGGTGGGGTAGTGGGAAGGAATTCTTCCCTGTACGGGTGGTGAGGCCTCAGTACAGGTTGCCAAGGGAAGCTGTGGCTGTCCCTGGATCCCTGGAAGTGTCCAAGGCTGGGTTGGACTGTGCCTGGAGGAACCTGAGATAGTGGGAGGTGTCCCTGCTCATGGCAGGGAGAAGAGGATATTGTTCCTGAAGATGTCAGAGGTTCATAAGGCTTTGAAGATTGTCCAGTTAAGTAGAATATCATTGAACAAAGAGGTGGCTCCAACCTGGAATAAATGGCTTTTTCCACATCAGGGAGGAACATTTTCAGCAATGGAGCAACTGGAATTGCAAAAATGTCAGGGTGATGTTCATACAGTTAAGGGTGATGGGGCAACTGAAAGTTGCTGTAGTTTTCCCCTTGCCAACACCCACCCATTTGGACTTGTTAATGGTGTGGATTTGCAGTCCTTGCCCAACTTGTGGATGTGTTTGCATCCATTATCCCAAATTCCTGAAGAGGGAAATGGTTTTCTTTATGGAATTTTCCCCACCTTTATAAAAGTAGGGGAAATCAAGCTGATTGTAGATCCCACAGGATGGATGATGAACACAGCTGAGTCTCTCATAAACAAGAGGATTTGCTGCTTCCCAAGGTTCTTTTACAAGGAATATAAAAATATTTCCTAACAGGTCAGGTGTAGAGGGCAAGTGCAGTAATGCAATACTGCTCATGGGTGGGAAAGGAAGAGGATTACACTGGAAGAGATTTTGCTGGGATTTGCATCTCCTGCAGGGACTGGTATTAAATGTTCAGAAAATGGGGAGGAATTTCCACCAAGAATAGTTTTGAAACAGCAACAGGTAATGATACACCCGTGACAGCTTATATGAAATGCTGGTTATGATGGTGCCCCTTAGGCAAAATTTCCAAAGGTCTGATTGATCCATAGTAATCTCCCTTGGCTTTGCTCCCAAGAACTAGCCTGGCTTTTGGATTTTTGCAGCTCATTATTTAGGCTCTTGCCAGTCTGGTGATTTTTTTGGTGAGAGAATAAAACTCAGCATTCCCTGACCCCAATAAAAGAAGAGGCAGTGACCTGATCATAAAATGAGAAGTTTTAGAGCAGAGAATACTTCAATCTGTCAGTAAGAAAGAAATATTCAGCAGCATGATCTGAAGTGTGCATCAATACCAGTTCAAGATACAGTGTAAGTGCAAATTCTAAGTACCAAGGTTAATTAGTCCAATTAGCAGGAGCAGTGCTAGATTGTCCTCTAAGGCTAATATAAAAATTCAAAAATAACTCAATTTTATGAGTGATAATTCCTTGTATAATGTTTTGCTTTGACTCAGGAAGAGATCAGGGCAGGCCTGTGGGCAGTATTATCCTAATTAGGTCAGCTCCTGCATAATAGACTTTTTCAGATGAGCACTAACCCATCATTTAGCTGCAGACCAAGATAGAATGATAACTTCTTCTGGCAAGAAGGGGTGCCAATGTTCTAACAAGTGAGCCTGAATTCCTTTCCAGGATCGTCTCCCAGTCGGTTAGGAAAAAGAAACAAGGTGAGGTAAGAAATGCTGGGTGTTGCCCAAGTAAAATAAAAGGTGAGTGGAGATCTGCAATGAGCTCAGGTTTTGACATTTTCTTTGTTTTGTTCCCTCTTCTCCCCTCATCCATAGAGGAAGATCAAAAACATGTGAGACTAGGAAGCCACAGGTATTTCTGTCTTCAGCAAATATTCCAAAATTGCCAAAATAAAATTATGGGGCTTAGATCCTTAGCAAAGAGGGGAGAAACAAACTCAGGAGACCAGTTTTGAGGGATGAGGGACAACCTGTGAGGCTGATTTGGAATAGAAAGAACAGTGAAAAGGTCATGGAACTACAAATAGGAGTTGCTACTTGTAGTAACTTCAGCCATTTAGTAATTGCTAAAGTGTCAAAGGAAAATTAAATTTTTCAAAAGAAGAAACAAAACATGGAAACTATGAGTGGTGCCCTTGCAGGCAGGGTAGGATGTAGAAGTGTAAGGATGAGGGACATCTGTGAGGCAAAATATTTACATTGCCCTAAGAATACACCCCAAAATATGTGGCTGAGGAAGGACAGAGGCAGATGGTGAAGGCCAGGGAAGGAATTATGGCCAAATATTGGCCGTGCCACGTTTATTGCAGAGGCTGGAAGGTGGCCCAAGGCCCACAGGAAGGTCAGAGAGAGGAAGGTGCTCTGAGTGTAGGCCATGGAGCCACTGTGGGTGTTTTAATCCTGGCTTAGGCCACCTTGTTCCTAATTAAGGTTGCACAAACCAAGTATTAAACTTTCGAGCATGGGCACCATTTGTGGAGTTTCGCTTCTGTGGATGCCCAGTTTCAGGCAGCCAGAGCATTCAGAAGTTTGTAAGCAGTGGGTGCTCTGCACTGGGCACAGGAAATGCAACAAAATTGCTGCCTGGTCTGAAAAAAAGCCAACCACAAATACACAACAGTGAGAAAACAAAATGGGTTTGTTACGGGCATTTAACAATTTTGACTTGGATCATGTTATGTCTTATTCTTTGTAACTATATAAAGCACTTGGGAGAGGAGAGTTACAGAATTTATTACTTTAGATCAGCTTAATTTAGATCTTAAATCCACAAAAGAGCCTCTGGGATTCTGATTATTCATTCTTCTGATTCTTTCATGAAGCTGAAGGGTGCAAAGGGTTTATTTCATAGGAGTTGCAAAAAAATTATATAATATGTGTTTTAATGCAATTTAATGTTCTGTGGGGAGATTTAGATGAGAAGGTTCACAGGACTTATTACAGAGCCTAATTTTAGCCCTCATTCTAATTAGCATCTCAGGGTTTTATTGTTTACTCAGAAAATGCAACCAAAAGCTGGGAGGGAAGGTGTGGCTTTCCCAGGTGTTTTTTTTCTTCTTTTGCAAAGGGTGTGAAGATGGTTTTCACAGAGAAAAAAAACTGTGTTAATTCACGATTGATATCTGGAATAAGGAATGAAACAAAATTAATAAAAATTTTAAATATCTGAGCAAATTAAATCCCTCAAGGCAGGGTGTCCATTACAAACTTGACTCTGTCTATAAAAAAACCCTTTGGTTTTGCTTTAGGTTTTTCTTTCCATTTCATGGGACATGGTATTCCTGGTAAGTAGCTCTGTCTGAGGTGCCGGGTGGTATTTCATCAACCCCGAATATACTAAAAAAGGGAAAACCTGGTCCTTTTCTCCTCCTGACTGACATGGTGCCTTATAATGTTTTTATCCAAAAGCAGTAAATTACTAGAGTCTTTTTCCTTTCCAAAACAAAATTTTGCCAACTGTGCAAGTTTTTTATCACGTGAAAAGATTGCAAAGATCTTTCTGAATGCAGCTTTTTCTTGAATTATGGATTCCCCATTAAGTTTTGTTCTGGAGATAAAATAATTTTAATTATTTCTGTTTCCTGGCTGTGTTTGGGATGAGGCACATCACAGTCACAGAAGAGGGAGCCTTGAAGAAGAGTCCATGAAATCCAGGCAGAAAAACAGACTGTGCCCAGGAATGTGTGTGCTGACTGTGGATGGATGCAGGTAATTTCCTTGGAGCCACTGTAGGGCAGAGCATTCCTGAACCCTCCACAATCCTGTGAGCTCCATTCCAGAGTCCCTTGAGGACAAACTCTTCAAAGCATAGTTATGTTATATAAATTAGGTGGTATTATTTTAGGTATAAATGTTATATAAATTATATTATATAAATTAGGTTATATAAATTACCTGCCTTCTGATGCAGAGACATCTCAGATCATCTCTGCTTTGATCAAAGATGCTATTCCATGGCTCCAGAGCAGCCAGGACAGGGCAGAGAGGCTCAGCTCTGCTTCCAGAAGGAAGTGCAGGTGTACTTGTAGATGCTCGTCCAAGGTCACACTTTTCCAGCTTTCCCCACTGTTGACACCTAATTCTGGAGACCTGTTCAGCCCAAAACTGTTAATCTTCTATCTAACAACTCTAGTGAGGCTCTATACTTCATAAAGTAGAGATTCTGCACCCAGTTTTGCCTGGGAGCCCCACTTGGGAGGTGTTCCCAATTGCAAGGTTCTATGAAAACCCTGTAAAAAAGTAAGACAGTATTACTCAGAACCTAAAGATCCTCTCTGGAAAAGAAGATTTTCTTAGAAACAAGAATCATTAATTCTTGCTGGAAGAACCTCTAAGACCATCAACAACTTCCAAATGTTCTGGGGTATTTCAGTACCAGATTTATTTTTGGATTTATTTATTTATTTATCTCCAGTGGATTAAGTGTAAGCTGCAAACATTTATGTGCCAGACAATAAAAGGGCTGAGGCAGCAACCGCCAGCTGAGCAGTCACGTAGTGTCCTTCTGGAAATCTGGGAAAGTGTCAGGAGCCTGAGCAAGGAGGCTCTGAGTCACG